TTTCATGTGCTTTTAGTGCAAAGTAACTCATCTTCAGAAATCCCCCGACACTTGTTGAGTGATCTGCCTTTTCCTGTTGATATCAGCTTTAAACACTCGGAAATAAAAGTTAAGTGAATTTGACATTTAAATACTTGGTATGTTCATGTAGTCATATAAAGAGAAGTAGTGAGGATTTAACAGTTAAAGTATCGATGAGATCACCTCAAACTTCTCGTGTTGACGGTACAAAGTTTGGACATTTAAAGTAATCCAATCAGTGCCCGTAATCTAGAACAGAATCAGCTCTGCCTCCGACTCTCCATTAAACTGCTGAGAGCTGCATGCATAGGTGGCTAATCAGCTTACAGCCTGGTAAATGTGCACCGTGCTCAGAGGTTTGATTTAAATAATAGAAGCAGGACTTGGTGTGTTCTGATGTTTGGCTGCTTCATCAGACAAACACAAAGCTGCAAGTCTCTGAGTGACACTAAATTGCTTGTTATTGTCAAGTAAATGGATTTCTATTACACCCTGTCCTAATACAACATGCTCTGCCTTCCTATCTTTATCCCACAATAATGAAACACGTCCCATTATGTCCAATCTATTGTCTTTCCAATATGGCTGCGCTCCCAGTGCTTAAGCACCACCTGCACCCTCACAAACAACAACTGTGCCACTTACTGCTCCCGTTGGTAGCCGTCCAGTGTGGATTTCATCCCCCAGCCCGGGATGGGTGCCTATGCTGCTGCTCTACCGCTCTTTCCCTCTCTTTAGCAAAGCCCATCAAAACCCACGGCTCTGAGGAGCAGATTCCTGCCAAAGCTGCAACATTGCAGCAGCCTCAATAATAACTATAGTGTTTTGTCAGCCGCATGCCTCCCTGCCAGTGTGGGCCCACTGCTAATTCCAGGGCTGTGATTATGGTGCAGGCTTGAACCTGGCACTAATAACAAGCTTGGTGACTGCTGACGACTGTGGGACAGGAAATAAAGAGACAGAAAGGACAAAGAGAGGACAGGAGGAACAGAGGCCATGGTGGATAAGAGAGAGAAAAGGCGTCTAAGGAGGGAGGATGGACGGAATAATGTAACAAGACAACTTAGCGGGGAAGCATTTAGGAAAAGGCGGAGATGCAAGAGAGGGAGTGAGTGACTGATGGAGTGGATGAGGGAGTAGATTAAATCCAGTGAGAGAAAGTGGACGTACAAGTGCTTTAATGGAGGTTTATGGAGGGCGGAGGCCATCAGGAGCCTCGTAATTACCATTGGTTACCAACAGTAAACAGTCAGCGAAGAAATCATGTACAAAATATTCACAATGATGCTGATAATAAGTACATCACCAGCAGGACAGACGTCCTCTCTTATCTGGCATGTCTTCCAGTTTCATTCCTCCACTGAATGCATTTCAGAGAACAGCTTATAACTGATGCCAATGGTACGGCATTTCTTATTTTGCATATTTACCACTTAATGTGAGAGTAGAGACCTTTGGAAGGCAACATGGAGACGGGTGTGTAGCCAGTGAACGACGTCCATCGTGGTAGCCTGTTCACCCTACAGTCCTGTACAGTCAGAAAGATAAAACACCTGTATGTTTAAAAATGATAAACAGCCACTATTAATAAAGCAAAATGCTGTCACTGGGATTTCAGTGCAAAAGTGTTCAAAACCTGAAGATAATGATTTCATAGAAAAAGACAAAATAAATGAGTAGCCTCCTTCCCTAATATGAAGTTTAATCTGTCAATCAGAATAGTAAACTCACATGAGGACACTTATTTTGGAATGACATGCGTTTGTGTTTTGTGGTGACTCTGCTCGAGTGATGCTCTGGAACAATCTGACCAAGCCTGACAGAGATAGTCTTGAGACCACAGACCTCCCGGCAGAGCCTGAGGATCACAATGTTCCAATAGACACAGTATGAACACAAGAACACGGAGACCAACTGAAATGGACCTCACTCATCCAGCTTATGCAGCTTTAGGGTACAATTATGAACCATCTGTGTTCTATGGGCCCAGAAAAGAGGAGAAACAACCATCCATCCATCATCTCTACACCTTCATCCTCACTAGGGTCATGGGGGGCTGGAGTCCATCCCAGCTGACTCAGGGTGAAGGCAGGTTCCCGGTTGTTCTCACCAGGATCGTGTAGCTGCAGCCGTTAGCAAACAACCAGAGTTATGATATTGAACCTTTAACAAGGAGGCTGGTGTAGCAGCGATGTGCTGGACGTGGAGCAGCAGACTGCATGAACGCTGCCTCAGTTATAAAGTGGGTTAGGACTAGTGGGTGGGCTGGACTGAAGCAGAGAACAACTGGACAGACACGGGGTCTCGTGATGCCCTGACTCCGGGCCTGTCTGAAGCTCCATTTCCATTATTGCAGTGTCTTTTCTCAGATTCTTTAATGTGTGGTTCTGTCAGGCTGTAAGGATCTCTGCTCAGAACATCCGTCTGAAGAAACGTGTCCACTGCAGCTTCTGATGGAAGTTAAAGCTCATAAAATATTGACAAACTCACATTCTTATGACGTCCTGGTTTTTCGGTGGATCTGCTCAGAGCTCACAGACTCAGCTGCGTATGTTGAACGAGCTGTCAAGTCCGGGTGACCTTGAGCTTTACCTGCTGATCAGTCCGGACCTCGCTCTGCATCCTCAGACTGGATGACAAGTCGATGTGGAACCAGCTCAGACCTTGTGATATGAATACAGTAAGTTACGAAGTTATCGGTGTATAAATGAAAGAGATGCTCAATGTAGAGTGCAGCTGGAGAATATTCACAGTGAACCTGTCCCCAGATGACTGTGGTTTTAGAGTGGCGTATTTCCCTGTTGGTGAATTGTTGTCATGGCAGTGTTGTTGCTGCTGAACTCACACAATCATGTTACATCAGCTCCTAAATTACAGCTACATAATGTTTTTTAATTTAATTTCTACGACTAGTATAAACCATGACTGGAACTTTAAGGCGTAAATCTCAATTAATCATCCATCCATCCATCATCTCTACACCTTAATCCTCACTAGGGTCATGGGGGGCGGAGCCTATCCCAGCTGACTCAGGGTGAAGGCAGGTTCACCTGGACAGGTAACCAGTCTATCACAGGGCTACACTTAGAGACAGACAACCAAGCACACTCACATTCACACCTACAGACAATTTAGAATCACCAATTATCCTCAGCATGTTTCTGGACTGTGGGAGGAAGCCGGAGAACCCGGAGAGAACCCACGCTGCACGGGGAGAACATGGAGACTCCACGTAGAAAGATTCCAGTGCGAACCGGCGACCTTCTTGCTGCGAGGCAACAGTGCTACCAACTGCACCACCCTGCAGCCCCTCAATTAATCAATTACAGAAAAAATAAAGAAAAAAATAGCACATTTAATTGCATCTCAGTTCTCTAATTTCTGGCACTGATGCACACACTCCAGCTGGTAGGTGGCGCTAATGCACCTGAAGTTCTGAGTGACGTCAGCGCACAAGAAAGTTTGAACAGTGATGAAGACGAGGCCGCGTTGCTCGGCTTGTTGGGCAGAACGTATTTTTTTTCCTATCCAAGCTGCCTTCGTGTCCACAGGGGCGGTTCTGACAAAATCTGACAAATTTGCATAAAGTTGAAGTCAAGGCTACTTTATGCAAACGAGGACGACGCTGCGCCTCATAACTCCCTGCAAAGCTTCAGAACAGGCGTTTCACTACACGACGACTGGGAGGAAGTTCTAAACTCCCAACAAATGTCGGACCACTTATGCTCGACAGACCTCAGGAATAATCAGATTGACACGGCGCCGTAGCCCTCGCTGTCACCAGCTGCTACATCCTGTAAGACGTGCAAGCCACCGCCTTTCAGAAACATCCGTGCAAGCCCTGTGCATTTGCTACTGTGGTATGAATAGGATCATGTGTGTGTCCCCTGCCTGCTTTCAGAGCCCACGTCTGTCATGCAAAACCCCTGAACTGGTCTTTAGCTAGCTATAATCTTGGCGATTTATTCCCCTTTGCTGTTATTGCAGTAGTCTTGTTGGGACCGCTACACAATTTGATAGACAGCATTCAGAAAGTCAACCAACCAGAAAATCAGAGGAAGTAGTTTTCTAGTGGGATGAAAGGTTCCTCCGAGTTGTAAGCTGTAGTTTACCATTTATCACGTTGTGTGTTCGTGCGGGGCTGAATTCACAGATATTTGCATTTGTGCTTTGTATGCACAGAGTTTTTAAAGGGATCGGTGCATGTGTGCCCGGGTGTACGCCGAAGAGAAGAGGGCGTTAGGAGGTCAGTGGAAGCCCAGTGACAGGTTCTCATTCTCTCTCTGCCTCCAATAAATTCAGCCGCTGCAGAAGGTCCGGACAGGTCACTCTGGCTGAGATTATGGAGCTGTCAGGGCTGATGGAGGAAGAGAGTGGCAACGACGGGAAAGGAGGAAGAGCGGGAGAGAGAGAGAGCTGAGGGA